GTGCTTTCTGCTTTTCCATTTTGCACTCTGCTGCTGCAGCAGTTGCAGCAGTTGAATGTACGCTAACCAACTGTGGAAATTCCGCACTACATATAATCATGACCAACAACATCATCATCGGCATTTGCGATCGTCATTGCAATTATCATTATCCTCGACATCGTCAGAAGTAATTTAGGAAAAATATTTTTTATGCGCTCGCTCCGTGCATTTCTCTCTGGCGTTTGTTGCTTTGGGAAAATTTTAACTTGACTTGGCTTCGGTTTCAGCTTCGGCTTCGTCTCTGACTCTGGCTTTTGGTTTTAGCTTCGTAGAAGTCGATTTTCGTGGCTGCTGCAATCTCATTGTTTTGGCGAGAAGGTTTATGAACTTTTACAAAAGTAATTCCTCTCCTTGCCTGGCCTCTTGCCTGTTGTATGTATCTTTTGGAAAGTGCAACACGGCGGATGAGTGATTTCTGAGAGCAAACATTTACATTTTGCATTTGGTATTTTCTTTTTAAATTTTCTAGGTATGATTTAACGCCTGGCTAATGAGTGGAAGCAATGGGAAACTCACTTTTGCTTTCAGCAACAATCACATTAATATTCTTATCAAGAAGCTAATACTCTCTATATATCTCTGGCCGATTTCGGTGCGTTCGCACGATTCGTCGACTCAACTCCGCTCAGCACAGTCGCCAGCCAGTTGTGGCTGAAAACTTTCACTTTGCGCTGTCAGAAGCGGCATAAAGAAAGAAAATGAAAAAAAAGAAAGAAAGAAAGAAAAAATCACAGCTACAAAGCCGTAAACCCAAAGCTCTAATGTTAATGTAAATAGCGGTAAGAGCCAAGCAGCACACATACGCACAGAGTTACGTGCTGCAGATACTTTGCTTCAGATACTGAAACAAAGCCCCAATGAAAAAACCCAAACTCGAAGCCGAAAGAAATATTATTCAAACAGCAAAATCATTTATTAAAACTATTGTTGATGTTGGCGAACTTCAGCTGTATATGCCAAGAAATAAAAATCGAATTAAATTTTGGCATCTTACATAAAAACTTAACCTTCCCCACACACGAACGCCAAAAATGTTTATTTGTTTGTCTGCTGGTTTTTTTTTCGCCCAATTTAGTTGTTATTCGCCGTTTCTTGATCTTTCCAGCGATGTCCATTGCAATTATCCACTCCAAAATGGAGATGACTTGTGGTTGTCCGTGCAAGTCGCGTTAGTAACGCTGCGAAATTAGTTTGGTAACTTTCTATTGAGAGCCCAAGAGCTCCCCGATCTCTTCGATCTGTTTCTGTTCGATCTTACCCCGGGAAGCCATTACTCATCCGCACTGATTGGACATCGCTCGGCATCTTCACTTTCTGGGTCACTTCTTCCACCTATTATTCAATTCCAGCAAAAATCAGCATAAGGTGCCAGCCACAACCATTACCACTGGGACTCCAGTTGAATTGAAGCGGACCTAAAGTGAAAGTTCTAATAAAGTAGCGCCCCGACTCCACCGTGAGATATGCAACCGAGCATGTGGAGGGCCGCGTCCGCTGTTGTGGTAGTCCGGATCGCTCCGGAGGAAAGTAAGATGCGAAAAAAAGAAACAGCCAATGAATGTGCGGATGGAGGGTGTAATAAATAGCCTCTTTCTTCAGCGTAGAGTTTTCTGTTCGTGCGAAACACAAATGCTTCATTTATATTTCTTCTTTCTTTTTCTTTTATTATTTGCCAAACAATAGTGTCTGTGGCTGGTTTGATTCTACTGCGCTGTTAATTTCAAATTAATTGCAACGCCAGCGGAGAAATGTATATATTCCGCTTTTTCGATCAATCATTGTGGCTCTATATTTGGGAAACCGCTGGGCAGATCGCCATGGATCGGTTGCCAGGCGGCAATTGCATAAAACATATTTTGCTCGAAGCTTCCTGGGCTTTCCCAGCAGCAGCACTTCTGCTCAAACGGATGGCCAATTAAGCGGCTAGTAAGCCATGGTGCAAGCATTATAAAAGAATTAATTAATAAGCAATTGCATAATCGGCTACGCTTCGTGTCGGACTAGGAAGAGAGTTTAGTGTAGCATACGCAGGCTGAGAGCCGTAGAAAGCCACAAAATAAGACCTGATAGCATCGCACTGAGGCCGGTTTTCACTTTTCACAAGATACATATGTATGTTGTATGTATGCAGAAGTGGCTAATGACATTGGGCCACTCTGATCTGATGCTACCGATGGTTATCGCCAGTAACTTTCCTAACACTTCCAGCCGGAATGACAAGATACAGGTTGCATAATGACATACGAAACGAAAGACGAAAAATAGAAAACGAAAAGCAAAGCAAAGAAATATCAAAGAGACAGAAACAGAAACTATAAAGAAATTGATGTATGTCGGTGGCCAAAATAATTTGTAGCGGTTTATCATCTAACGGTATTGTTGAGCAACCTTCCACCACTTCAACAGCAACTCCAAACTCCACAATCCACAATCCCCCAATCCCCAATCCACTCCAACGCTCTCGGCTCGCCAACGCCAGGCGAACATTTAAACTATTTTCTTGTTATGTACTTCAACAGCATTTTTTGGCATCGATTTTTGTTACTTTTTTTCTGATTTCTGACATCGGGCAGAAAACCCGATGAGTCATTCTAGATAATTGCGCGTGCCAGCCAACCAACCAGTCAGTCAGTCAGTCAGCAATGGTAAATATTTATGAAACTAACTATTAATAAGCGTGGACGAAAATCGAAAAAAAAAAAAAACGAAAACGAAATTGAGCCGTACACCCATATCGCGTATACGCCGCATGGGCCACCCCAATGGGACCACTTTGGGTTCCAGAGAGATCCACACGCGTCGGAACTCAGGAACTGTTGCAATCATTTGGTTTTGGCCTGGCCGTCTGCAAACCCAGCTGGGACATTGAACTCGAAATGCGAACCTGCCCAGCCGAGTTTGTAAACAAACCTCGGTTATGTAAGCGCTTAATTATAATGGAAATGAAATGAAAATGCCAAAACGACAAAAAACAGAAACTGGGATTGGGTTGGTATTGTCGCTGTTGCTGTTATTGTTGCTCTTACGGTTTCTCGAAACAGTTGTAAACAGCATTGAAGGCTAAACTTGTGCACCCGGATAAAAATAATAGGTTCCAGAAGTATAAATTGTAAATATGCAAAGTATGTGTAATTTCGGGAATACCTGAGGTTGATTTTAGCTTTAGTTTTACTGAGTTTTACATATTACAATGCAAATAAAACGAGTACATATATACTCCTTTCCTGGGTACTACAATCTCAGTCAAAAGCTTAAAACGCAGTGAAGGACTCATTTCCGACCCTATAAATCATATATTTTCTTAATCAGCATTAAAAACTAAATCGATCTAGCTATGTCTGGTCAAAAAATAAATTTTTGAAATGTTTTCGAAATTTTAAAATTGTTAAAAATTGGCAAAAAATCGGTTTTTCTTAAATATTAAGTGAAGGAATCATTTCCGACCCTATAAATCATATATATTCTTGATCAGCGTCAATAGCCGCGTCGATTTAGCCATCTCCGGACGAAAAATAAAATTTTGAATTATTTCGTTTTTTTGAAAAAACGATAAGGGGTTACATCATTAAAATTGTCAAAATTGGCAAAAAATTGAATTTTTAGAAATGTTAAATTAAGTATGCAGATTTGTTAACCTAATGAAAACTAGCATAGAAATGCTTTCCGAATTGAAATTAATGAATTTTTAACTTAGTTATGATCGATTAAAATTTGGAATGTCATGGGAAATGCAAGGGTGTACAAACTTCGGCTTACAAAAGTTACCATCCTTTCTTTTTTAATAATATATAAACTTATATGTTTATAAATTTACTTTTGAAGGTTCTCTTAAAAATATTTTTATTCAAAACGATCGCAACATAATTACAGTTTTAAGAAAGTTTTCAGTTGCTCTCTAAAATAATCCTTTGAGGGATTCTTGAGGAAATAACTCAAATGCTGTTGTGATGGATTCTTAAGTAAAATATTTTTAATAAGTGTAAATTCTACAAAGCTTAGTATTTTAACAAAACTATTTTATTATTCACTAACTTTCAGAGAAACTATTCTGTACTATCAGCCCAAAAATTAGTATTTTCCCGTTGTGTATTTAAGACAGATTTTTCCAGGTGCAGGGATTTGTATTTCTGGTTTTGCGATCAAATCCATTTGCATGGCAATGAAGTGTGCCAGAAACTGGGTCAACTTATGACAGGACTCAAAGTCAGGGCAACGCCATTCATCTGGGCGGAGATGTGACCAGTGAGCAACGAGTAGAGTTTTGCCTGGCGGCCGAGGAGAAATTAATGAACGATCCCAAAAGGAAACATAAATTCTGCTCCCGAAAAAGGGATCTTTGTGGTAGAAGTGGCAGCGACGCTGGCCGAGGCAGAAGCTGAAGCAGAAGCAGCGACCGCGACTGCGACAGAGTCAACGAGAAAGAAAAACGAAGAAACGAAGCAACAACTTTCACCTATTAATATTCGTGTCGTAGCAGCGGCAGAAGCGAGCTGCCAAAGCTAAAGCTAAAGCCAAGCCAAGACAGAGACAGAGACAGCAACAAAGACAGAGAGAGAGAGAGACAGAGTGAGATACAGATACATCCATGGAGAGTCAGAGTCAGATACAGATACTGTAGAAGCAGAAGAAACCTCTGCTAGTCAGTGGCGATGCTCGGCAAAAGCCACACCGCCTCAGCACTGGGCAACTCCAAGACCAAACTGGCTGCAGCTCCAACTCCAACTCCAACTCCAAGTCCAACTCCAAGCACCCCTTCCTCGGGAAACTTTCTATAAAAAAGTCGTTTGCGCTTTTTGTTTTGAAAATTTCTTTCTTGCTGTGCAGGTTTATTTGTTTGTTGCTTTCGCTGTGCATTCTGCAGTTTAAGGGGCTTTTAATCAGGCGCACCCCCAAGTTTTCTTACAATTAAAGGTAGGTCTAGAAATAGTATAGCATATAGTTCCTTCTGGTTAACTTACAACAATATCTGGTCGAGTATTGACAATTCGCATTGACTGTGGGTGTCATAATCTCGTTGGCAGCCATATCCAAATCCAAATGGTCTATTGCTGTTAGCGTATATTCCAATTCCGCTTGCTGGTATCCTTAAAGGCTTTGATCTAAGCTTTTCTTAGTTTTTTACTTGTTGATAATCCAATGGGTCACAAAAACAATTTGAACTTCTTTGATAGTTTCTCTCTCTCTTAAGGCTTATTTGGCTAACTGGAATTGCCTGGTTTTCATTGTACCAATATATCAATATTTGTCATTCAAGAGGCACTCACGCACACGGAGACCGAATGAGACTCACACCGCAAAACTCACTTTCACTTTTGCGTTTTGATATGCGCAGAACACAAGACAGTTAATGAAAAACGGTTTCGAAACTCAGAGGTCCGGTCTGGAGAATTTCGGGGGAGAAAGGAGGGAGGCGGGGGATAGAGAAACTCAGATTCCAATCACAAAGTCAATGAGAGTCAACATTTTGATGGGCTTTACGTAGCCAGATGATGATGATGCTGGATTATGCAGGGATAATACATGGTTTTTAAGGCACTGCTTTTTGCACTTTCTGGTCACTTCTTGTGGAGTCTATATATTATATTTTATGTATAGTTTTTTTTGGGGAGACGCGACTGCTGTGGCACGGTTGAGAGTACTCTGGCTGGGTTGAAGGGGCGATGATATTCTTGCGCGCCGAACGGAGGAACGTAACGTCTGCCTCGAAACGCGGTAGACGTCTGTGCGGCAGCGCGCAGTGAAACCAGCGCTTATCCTCAAAGATCGCTAAGAAATTTCATGCCATTCCATTTCGTTTCGTTTCTCTGCAGCAGCAGCAGCAGCAGCACCAGCGACGCTTTCGCTTGCCACGCACACACAGAAACAGAAAGACACACACACACACACACACAGGCTTGTTGTAAGCTCGGTTCTGTGGCTCAGCAGTGCTTTTACCATTTCTTTCGCTCTCACCAACACACACACACACACACACACACACACAGTCGCAGGTTGCTCCCAGCAAGTTTGGTTCTTCGTTGAAGTCTTTTGTTTTGGTCTTCAGTTTGCACGGCCATGTGCGCTCCATTCGTAGTGGCTTTGAGTAAGAGTTTCGCCTTGGGAGCACACTCACACACACACACACAGACTATGCTTAATTATATTTACAGTTTACGTCGTTTCATTTCCAATACGTTCCCCCAAAAACGACTTTTATAACTTTAACTTTCATCGCTGCCTTCTAAGACCCGCTGCGGGTTTTCAGCTTTTCCACCGCCTCTTTCTTTCCCGTTTCTTCGACTGCTACTGCAAATTACAACTTTCGTCTATTTTTGTCAAGATTTTTTTTATATAATTATATAATTTAAACTGTTTTTTTGTTGTTGTAGTGGCTGTAGCTTTGCTTCTTGTCTTGTCGCACATTTTTGGCCTTTGTTTCGGTGTAAGTGCGCCGGCGCAGCGCCAGGCAATTTTACATTTCGCCCGCTTTTCTATTGTTGGCGCAGTTTTTTTTAGTTTTCAGTTTTTACTTTTCTTTGCATAAACCGCGCACGGCTAATTACGCACAAGGAGAGTGAAACTCCATTAGATTCTTAATTATACTTTAATTGCCGAGAGAAATGATGTGGCGAGTGAGGCAGGCAGGCAGGCAGGCAGGCGTAAGTTGCATTTGGAAATCTTTCCCTGCCGCTGCATTTCTTATTGTTGCAGATGGCGTTCAAGTTGGAGTTGGACTTGGCTTGATGATGTTGCCGCTGCTGGTCTAGCCATGCGCAGTGAGCGTTGCAAGTGAGCTCTGCCTTCAGCAGGCTCCGTTTAAGGCATCTTGGTTAGAGGGGGTTTTTGGGTGCTTTTTAGGGGTCTCTCTGCACTCGCACACAGTGGTTTCTTTGTCTTGCTCTCGCCATCCGAAGTTGTAGTTGTAGTTGTAGTTGTAGGAAACTTTCTAATGTAGAAGATTTCCCCACTCCCCTCCTGGGTACTTAAGATTGAATTGCCGCTCAGTAGGCCTCTATTTATTCTCCGTTTGTCAGCTTTTTCTTTCTTCTTTTTTGGGGGGGATTTTCTCAGGCAGAGAAATGAAATGTTGTAAAGGCCGAAAATTCTATGCAGCTCACAGCGTTGCCGATTGATCGATTCTTTTACCCAAGGTGAAAGTTGCTCTGTTACATATTTCCTGCACTGCCGAGTATTCCGCAGAACCCATCGCATCCCTCAGATCAGTTTAGTCATGCAGTTATGCCCAATCATGGCCTACGGCCTACGACTTTCGACCATCATCTAATCGGCCCGAATTTGTATTTACATGCTAATGAGAAACGGAATATTTTGTTTCATCTGAAAATGAAAACGCATTTTATTGCCAAACGATGATCTTCGTCAATAGAAGAGCTAATAGATTTAATTGCTCCGCCGGTTCGTTATATAAATCTCGGCAGAATCGTTCGCAGGGAAAGAGGGAAAAAGAAACCAAAAAGTGGATGGGCAGCAAAGAGACGTATCGCGGCCAAATGATTAATGCAGCCAAAAGCCGAGACCCCAAAAAGCCAAAATCGTATTTTCACTTTTTAATAATTAACATAAAATTATTAACAAGACGAAGAAGATGAGCAGAGGGCGAGGCAGAACCACGAAAACGATGCCAAACGCATTAACGCAGCACCCAGCCACCGAAAGACGAAAAGAATAAGCCAAGAAAGTTGTAAAATCAGATCTCTGATTTCATAAAGTCTCGTAAAGAACGAGACGCATGACTAACACCACCAGCCAGCCAGTCACTAAGCCAGAGAATCTGAGAATCTCAAGTGAAATGAGTTTGAGAAGCTTTTCCCGAAAGCGGGGCCTGACCCAGTTACCCATTTAGGCCCAAAGACCAAATTGATGTGATGTGGCGGCGGAAGAAACTACCAACAAAAAAAGAGAAGAACGAAAAGTAAAGTGGAGATGGAAATGTGGCCAGAAGACGAGTAACAGTTATGTGACGGGCAGACAATCGAAAGTTTATGTCATGCTGCCGGCAGCAACGCAGCAGCAGCAGCAACAACAGCAGCAACAGCCACGCAGCAACATCAGTTCCAGGCCTCGGATAAGACCGAAATCCGACAGATGCTGTTGCGTTCCTTTAATTGTTCACTTGGCCACTTCTTGTGGGCATTCAGAAAGCAACCAGTTACAGAGCGTCGATTTTTCCCCAAAGTGAAACAAAATATACGTATAAAATACATTTTTTCGAAAGTCATGCACCGAAATAAAAATGGTTCTCGTATCTACACACACGTATCTCTCTCATAGGCCTATGACTACGGACGAACAATGAGAGCAGCGCGGAGTCGAGCTGGAAAAGAAAAAGTAACTTCACACGGCGGCCAAGCGGAGCCAGCGGAGCTGAGCTATGGCTGGCGCTGACCATAGTCGAGTAAATCGAAAAGATACACGAAAAAAAGAGAAACAGAAAATAAAATAATAAAATCGAAACATGAAACATTCTGATTGTATGGGCCCCAAAAAGTGGGTCAAGCGACGCCGTCGCAGCGCAGTCTCAGCTCAGTTGGCGTCGCAGCCAGAGCGCGCTCTTGACTGTGACTTTGCCTTTGGTTTTGACTGGTTTTTATTTTTGGCAGTGGCTGTGGGTCTCGGTCTTGGTCTTGGTCTTGGTCTCCAGCGGTGCTCGTGAAACCAAGACAGGCGAGAAGAACCAAAAAAAAGTATCAATACAAAAACAAAAGCAAGCTTAATAACAACTGAAACCCGCACGGAGACTTCGCTGACGGAATACTTAAGCATCCGCGTCCACTTGCACTTTCTTTTTCCAGCTCTCAGCTTGGCTTTGCTTGCCGCTGTTGCTGCCTTTTGCTTTTTGCGCTTTGCTTTTACCATTCTGTTTCTACCTCTTCTGCCGCGTTTCAGGTTCGTGTCTTAAGTCTTTCGTTTGCTCGGGAGCACGTTTCTTTCTTCGCCTGGCTTTCGCTTTGGTGCCAACGAAAATGTGGGTTCTGTGGGGGCATTTAGGGGGCCTGCTCTTGAGCAGATATCCTTGAGTTTAGCACTCAAGGGATTCCTTTCTAACTGACATATTTATAGTTAAAACATACCACAAGACTTTGTTCTATCGTATCCATTCTTTTTATTAATTGGAAATTGAAGATTTCGAAGTGGATTTTAAATAAAACAACAAGGAAAATGGGAGCTAATTTTGGGCAGCGGAAGTTTGTATACAGTTTGATCATTCAAATCATCATAACTCAGTCAAAAATACAATAAATTTAAAGCGGAAAGCGGTCCAATCCTAGATTTCATTGGGTTAACAAATCTGCATACCTAATCTAACATTTCTAAAAATTAAATTTTTGGTAAATTTTTGAACATTTTAATGATGTAACTAACTCCTTATCTTTTTTTGAAATATGGAGAAAATTTCAAAATTTTATTTTTCTATCGGACATGGCTAGATTGATTCAGCTTTTGGTGCTGATCAAAAATATATATAATTAATAGGGTCGAAAATGATTACTTCTCTAAATATTAAAATCAGTGTTTTTCAAACATCATATTTAAGCCAAAAATGCGTTAATTTTAATTCGAAAGGCTGTTTACTGCTAATTTTTATAGAGCTAACAAATCTGAACACTCAGTTTTTGAATTTCAAAAATCACTTTTTTGCCTATTTTTGACAATTTTAAAGATGTAACCCCTTATCTTTTTTTGCAAATTTCGAAAATTTTGAAAAAGAAAAATCAATTTTGTCCGGACATAGCTAGATCGATTCGACTGTTGATCCTGATCAATAATATATATGGCTTATAGGGTCGAAAAGATTGTTTAACAGCTTTTCAAACTTCTGACTGAAATTAAAATACCCAGAAAATGTATAAATATCGATATATGTATGTTCAACGAACCAATAACGATTTTTACATATTTAAATTTAAGCCGTATTGAAATTACAGACCCACAAATTCAAATTCAAATTCTGCAAGGGCGCCACATTGCTGGGAAAAACTAAGTGGCAGCTCCACTGCTTTGTCAAATAGAGAATTGCTTTTTGC